CTGGCTGGGAGACCAGCTAAAACCAGCTTAGCCAGGCTGGTCAATTATGAGATTGCCGTTATTAGCAAACAGGTTAATTTGCTGATTACAGCCCTGCTAAAAAAAAACACAAAAAAACAGCTAAAACCAGCCTAAGCTGGTTGGCTGGTTTTAGCTGGTCGTCTAGCCTGGTCAGATGGTCAGCAGGCTAGTTTAAGAGGGGTTTTGGCCACTTCTTTAGCTCGTCAGTCTGGTCTTAGCTGGCCAGGCTGGGAGACCAGCTAAGACCAGCTACCATTTACAACTTGTCTGTAAACATTTGAATGTGATATCTGACCATGTCCATATAATGAATGTCAGTCCAACAATCTTCCTTTGTGTTCCAAAGAAGAAAGAAAGTGACAACATGAGGAAAGTAAATGAAAATTTTCATTTTGAGTAAACTATTGCTTAACTATTGCAATAAAGCTGGTGGAGTTATCCTGAAGCTACTCTTGAAGCATCTTTATTGTGATGCAGGCATAAATGTATTTCATCAATATGAATTAAAGAGCTTCACCTTACAGTGGTGAAATTCAGGTGTCATTTAGAGTGTTGTAATTTATACTCTGCGTTGTTGTGCAGTATTTTCACTGGTCACATAAACTGGGTTTTAACAGTGACACACTTGTTTTCAAGTTCCAAGTGGAAGGAATAGTCTGTTGACACAAGGAGCTCCCCTGTGCAGCATGTGTGCTCATCATGACAACACATGCATAACTAAACATCCTTGCTCTGTTGTCAAGGTCACCATGATGTCTTCCTCAATGCAATGACTCGACCAGAACTGTGAACTGAGAGGCGATTTAATTGCTGGAAAATGCTTAAAAACTTCAGAGTTGAAATGGTTTTAACCAAAGAGTCATTCAAATTCCATTTAAAAATATGGCTTTTTACTGTCTTCTGCTGTCAAAGAGAGAGGATTTTGTGGTTTCTAATGGATATAAGTTTGCACTTCATAATAACATAATGTGTACACTTATAAACACAAAACTATGCACAAGACTATAATCTAAAAACAAATCTCCAAGTATGGGGTGAAGTAGCAGCGCTTCCCAAATGCTCCATGGGACAAGATTCCCCAGACTATTGCAGAGCTGCAACTGAGCTACAAACAAATCTATAGTAACAAGCATTAGCAATCTGGCAATGAAGATTGGAAGCAATCTTCCAATGAAGGGAAGTGTGTAGCGGCCTAAAAACTAACTAAAGCTGCAGGAGTTGAGTGAGGGAATAATTTGTGACATGTCAATCATCCTTTACGTTTGTGTCTTGAGATTTATTTTATCCACCGAATACTTGACAAACATTGAGGCATTTCTTCAAGGATCAGAAGATTTGAATCAATACAAAAGTTTGAATGAATATAAGGTCAACAAAAAATGTGTGCTCCCACACTCACCCCCTTCTTTCCCTGACATCCCCTACCCACAACAGGTGTTTTAACTCTCAAATAATTAATGACACGCCCACATTTTCCCACAGTCACATGACATCGCACATTAATATTTACATAGCTCCTATAAAATGTATTGATGTGGCAACACCATCACTCATGTAATTTGACAGAAAAATGACAAAAAGTCCCACTGGAATATTTGTGTCTTTACTGAAATGCATATGTTATTAACTTGGCTGCCTGACTTACAATACTGTTACAGGGGTCATATGATGCGATTTACATTTTTCCTTTCTCTTTGGAGTGTTACAAGCTCTTGGTGCATAAAGAAGATCTGTAAAGTTGCAAAGACTAAAGTCTCAAATCCAAAGAGATATTCTTTATAAAAGTTAAGAGTCAACCACACCTAGCTAAAATGGCTCGTTTTAACACGCCCCCACATATCTACATCACTATGTGGGAAGATTTGCATAATGCCGCCCAAATGTTCACGCAAAGAAAGAAGGCGTAACTTTTATTCTCGCTGTAGTATTGTTGCCGCCGCCATGTCGTGAAGGCGCTGTGTGTTTCGTTGTGAAAGCGAAACTACTTTGTTTGGTCTTCCAAAAGAGGATGATATCCGCTTCGTCATGCCTAGAGCTGATCCGTGGAACAACACTGTTCCAGAACAGTTTGACCCAAATATTCCGATGTGTGCAGCGCATTTTATGGAGGACTGTTTCCTGATCCTGGTAGAGTAGATTACAATGCCGGCTGTTCTGACTCACAGACCGTAAGTACGTTTTTATATTTAAAGAATTTGCCACTGACGATTCAAACGCGAATTATAGAGGAGAAACAATAATGTACAGTATGTGGAAAATAATGTGTTTTTTGAACCTTAAACCGCATAAACACATTTCATTACACCAAATACACAAAATAATGTTCTTTTTAGCAACATCATATGACCCCTTTAAAAGATTTATGTCCTGTGCTGAAATCAAGAAAATGTGTTTTTTAATGCCATTAATGGTTTTTTGTTTTTTCTTTCTTTTTTTAGATTTAATAATTATTGTAATTCAGAGTTATTATTCAATATGTCATCTTTGCACTTCATTAAAACATATCGTTCAATTTGAAAGTTGCTATTATGGCATATCTTTAATTTCTTCATAATATACTGGCAGTTAAATGCATATGTTCATATATGTCATATAATAAATGTACTTTTCAGATGAATCTCTTTTACTGGGATTCTCCTTTGTCTTTTGGTTATTCAATTATTTGACTAAATTGTAAAAATAAATAAAATTGCTGATTTTGTATTTTACATTAATGACATTTACATTAATGGGTTTTTATTTATTTCCCTTAATAACACATTGGCTGATGCATCATCATCATCCTGCACATGCTAAGCTTATATCTAAATATGTTCAAATGTAAAAGTAAATGTATATTGTTAATTTCTTTACGTGTACTGTCATTAAATTGCATAACATTTATGTGTATAAAATATTACATATAAAAGTCAAGTGCTCAGTCGTTTACAGTGAGTATGGCATAACTCCCTTCTTAGTGTAATTCAACTAAAAGCATCATGCAATCTGCATTTGTTAGACTTCCTTGGTGTCTATACTTAATACTGCCCTCTTCTGGATATGTGATATTTACTTTAATCCATAACACTTCTATAACTGTTGATGAAATATTTATCATATGTGCTGTGGGGAGTACAAAACAGTCCTTCTGGTGTTTATATGTTACTGTAAGACCATGGCCTTAACATTACTTAAACCTTTATTAACAACTAATCATTTTTGTATTTATTAAATTTTTTAACTGGAAAAAGAACTACACTTTGAGATTATCAAGTAGTTTGATGTTGTTAATAACTACAAATATTAATATGATTATGCATACTATAAGTTGAGTAGAAAATGTATACGTGCAGTCTGGCACTCTTGAGCATGGCGCTTGCTGAGAAACTTCAGCCCAGCTGCTAGAGAGCGATGACCTTGGCATTGGTTACTATGTTATCCTGCTATAAAAACATGAAAATAGGGGTCAGACAACAGACACACAAACCATACACTAATAATGATATTTATGTCCTTGCCCTCATATCTTTTTGCTTTACCGTGGCTATTTCTCTTATTAGCATGAACAAACATGAAAAGAAAACATTTTATTTATAACACACAGATACTTTGCCCAACACACTAAATCATAACCAATAAAGGCATCAAGACAGTTATCCAAACCACTAGAAAAAGCAGGTTAACTTAAGGTTTACTGAACTGAAATGTCAGGAAATGCCCACATGCTGTAGTTTATTTACAAAGTTATGACATTTTTAGCTTATAGGAGTTAAACACTAGGAAGTTTTGAAAATGTGGTCAAGGTTTGTTTTTACTGTGAATTACTTAAAGTATACCACTATTGTATCTGTATATGGATTTTACAGTAATAATTTCTTCACACAACCTACTTAGTCTTCATTTATTGCTTTCAGACTCTTTTCTATTTATTCTGTGCTTTACTGTTGACCAGTATGACCAATAACTTCACAAAATTTGATTATAAAAGGAATCATTCTTTGAGTTGTCATATTTCATACACCCTAGAAAGTGAAGACCTATTACATTACCAGGAAAGTCTGTGACTCATGGCTAGATTGCATTACTATTAAGCCGACTAGTGGATGGAGAAGAATGAGTCATTTAGTTACTTAGAATGACATGAGAAAAGACTGACTCTGTCTGTGTGTGTGTGTGTGTGTGTGTGTGTGTGTGTGTGTGTGTGTGTGCGTGTGCTGAGGGATTGTGTGGGAGTTGTTTCAGTACTACAGCCTAAATGGTTGCTAAACAGATGAGCTCTTGAAATGCTTCTAGAGTTAAGTACAGTTTTTTTTCACATTTTTTGTGTGAAATAATACAAAATATGTCCAAAATACAATAATTAAAAAATATGTTGTTTTATATTAAATGAATGTTTATTATATTAAGTAGATTATTATTTTAGATTATTTATTTAGATTATAAATATAGATAATTTATATTTGACCATTTATAATTATATTTATATTTATCATATAATATATTTTTATTGCTGTATTATTATTATTATTATTACTATTTTATTTTTTTTATTTTCTTCACGATTTAAAGTCTGAGTCTGGGAGA